TCGACTGGCTTTTGTTTACCACTTTCCTGTAAAAAGAAGGAGGAATACAGTTCATAACAGATCGGATTTTTCAGGTCTGTTCGCACAAGGGCAACAAGACGAGCTCCCAAGAAAAAGAAAATACCACTGACTTTTATTATTAAATAGAAACTTCATATTTATTTTCACTGATTAAAGGAGTTAGGTCACAGTTTGCGCATCTTGAAAATTTGGGCTAAATTTTTCAAGTTCGTCGTTTGTAATCCGTGTCGACCTTCTCCATCCTTAACCATCCTTGTTCCTTTTTGGTTTATTATTATCTGTTTGATACTTTTCTGTCTCATTTAACTACTATTTCCAGGTTTCCTTCTATTGATAGGTAATTTTGTACGTGTACGTGTACACTTCTAAAATGCACTTTTTGAAGACGCGAAAAACAGGTAAAATAGCCATGGAACGTCAGCCAACGTACAATTCTCAAACAGTCTCGAACTCGTGGTTTTAAAAGCGAATAACTGTACAAGGGAGACGTAACATGATTAAAAAGCTGATTTCTTTAATACAGCGGACTTTACCTTGCCTTTCACCGTCTGCATTTGTGACTTGTTCAAATCATTTAGGTCCTTTTGCTTTAATCCATCAACAGACTTGGCCCTCAACTCTAACAACTCTTTGTTTTTCTTGTCAATCTTCTTTCAGTTAAGTGTGGCTTGAACAAAGCTTCACGTCTATTTTCCAACTTTTCTCGTTAATTCATGTAAAAACATTTACCTTTTTAACCAAGCTTTACGAATTTACATCCGGTTAGAGACAACCCAGTCGAGTCCGTTCCCAGAACACCCCTCGCACGACTTGATTTTATCTCGCTCCCGAGCTCTTGATACGATTGAATGGGAGGGAGAGGAAACATGTCTCATAAGTAAATGTTATGGAAAGGGCTCAAAAGGAAATGCGGTGTTAAGGTCTCCTCAAAATCCAGTGAAAATTAGGATTAACAAAAAAAAACAAGCAGAGAAAAACTTTTTAGGGTTGTTTAAGCCCAGGTTTAAATCACGCTTCACTATACGTAACTTCTGATCTCTCAAATTCAGCCGAATATCACTTTTATTGATATCTAGAGCCCGTGAGACTCCCATATAAAAAGGAGTGGAGTGCTCGTCGAAAATTTTCAAAAGAACCCCTAAGAGGTACCAAAATCCTGTTTTGTGGGCGTGGCTTGAATTTTTTTTCATGCCTAATAGATATCAATTCTAAAACAAAACATTATGTGAAGGTGAATTAATCAACATGACGCGAGCGTGGGACAAAGAGAAATTCTGCGTCCCCGACAGGAATCGAAGCCATGACCTCCCGAACACCGGGTGGGCGCTCTATCCACTGAGCTACGAGAACTCATGGAGAGCAAAATCATTTAACCGAGTTCATATATGACAGGTGTCCTGCATACTGCTAGGATCAACGCTATCGAAGTCATCGTGAGTAGTGATAAGTTAATAAAGATGGTGAATTTTAAGCTCGGTAATGAAATGCGAAGGCGAATTAATCAGCATGACACGTTGATTAATTCACCTTCACATTTCATTACCGAGCTTAAAATTCACCATCTTTATTAACTTATCAACAAAACATTATCTCCTCTCATAGTTTTTTTTCGCCAATAAAAGGCTCCCGCTGTGGACCTTTTGAGGCTGAACACCCTGAGAGGCACCAGAACCGCTTTTTTTAACCCCCTTAAAGGTACGACTAGGACCCCCATTTTTTTTATATATGGGAGTACCCCTCCCTGCCCCCCGCCCCCCACCCCCCGCGCCGGGGTCTAGAGAGTGTAGATTGTGGATACAGCCAATCCTTTATCACACCAGGTGATAGCCTCTTTGTAAAGGAGGAGCTTCACACAGGCACTCGCTCCTGTCAAAAAAAGAAATAGAGTATGTTAAATGAAATTCAGCTGGTTTGCTGATTCGTGCATCATGAAGCCATTGTGTGTACTCCTATTGCAAACTGTCTTCGCTACAACGTAGAAATGAACCAACGTGTGCTTTGTGTACACCAGCTTGTACTGTCCCTGTAACAAGCGTTCTATACGTACACACGAACAGGCATGTCCCCGCTTCACGTCCCCGCAACGTGACGCCTAGTGTGTGCAAACATAAAGCTTAGTTCAAACACCTGTAACACAGTGAAACCTGTATTAAGCGGATCCCATATTAAGCGGACACCCTCTATTAAGTGGATACCAGCTTAAGTCCCTAAATTTTCTTCCTACATTTACTGTAAAAAAAAAAAAAAAAAAAAAACCTGCATTGAGCGGACACCTCTGTTAAGCGTGCGCGGACACCGATATAAAGCCATTTTGTTGCACAAAACCTGCAATAAGCGGACACTTCAAGGGCTTTTTACTTTTGAAAGCTCAGCACAGACTTCTTTAACATTGTTCAGCGATGTCGTTTTAAAGCTAAGTAGATTACTTCAGATTGATGCATTGACTGACTGGACATTGTGCTATGAGCAATCTGTGATCTCATACTGTGTTGCACTGAGCTACAAAGGGTTAATAATTAACTATTATTGCACAATATATTAGAACCTGCTTAGAGAGGACACCCTGTATTACAGTAAGCGGACACTAGTGAGGGTCCCAAGGGTGTCCGTTTCATACAGGTTTCACTGAATACGTATTTGGCTCTCAAATGCTGTCTTATGTCGGAGGTCAACGAACTCGCCCGCTCATCACCGTTTTCCGACTCTAAACTACCAGCGAAAAAATTACCAAATGTAGACTTTTTTATGCAGGCATTTTTGATAGCCTGAAAGAACAAAATTACCTAAACAGTGAACTGTATGGACAGGAACAACAAAGTTAGATTACAAAGAGATGAAACCCTTACCTCTTGCTATGGCTTTGATGTAAGTTGGCTGCAGCTCCGTGACGGCTTTTGCGTCATCTAGTGAATCTTGATAATTCCCTTGAAAAATTAAAGGAGCTCAGTCACGGTATTTTGAGTTATTTTGGCCACAAACAAAATTACCTTCAAATGGTAGGAAACCTGAAAATAACAGTTTAATAAGATAGAAAAACACCAAAGAGATAATGATAAACCATAAAGGAACAAGGATGGCTAAGGATGGAGAAGATTGACACGGATTACAAACGACGAATTTGAAAAATTGAGGCTAAACTTTTCAATATGCGCAAACCGTGACTGCGCTCCTTTATGGAGGCGAAGTTTTACAGTTACAAGTCCGGTAGAATAATACAATGGAAGAGTGACATATTACTCAGTGGTAAACTCAAAGAATTATACATAGAACATGGTCTTACCCGAATAGAAATGAGCCATTGATCTGTTGTTGTACAGTTTGGCATTAAGTTCGTCATCCCTGCAGTTCACCTTAATTCCTTCCGAGTAAAATGCAATGGCGTTGCTGAATTCCTCTCTTTTAAATGCACCATTTCCTTCATTCTTGTACACCTCTGCTATTGCTACAAGTGGACACAATGGTTATGGCAAGAAAACAAACAGACCCACGCGCAACTAAATCATGTGCTTTGTTTGTCTACTCTCACCTTGCAAGGTGATGTCGTCAAAAGCCAGTGTTCCTTCACCAGTCGGTGCGGAGTCTGTGAAATCTCTTTCTTTCTCAGTCCTGACTTCGTTCGTCGCCATGAACAAGCTTGATCTGTTTCAATGCTGTGAAATTGTTCAATTTGTAGATAGTGAATTATGAATGCAGACCTTACATGAATTAACATAAATTAATATTAATATGACTGTTTTACTGACAGGATGTTTCGGAGCCGAACGTGTGATGTGTTAGCCATCCCATCCAGGCCGGTAGTTGCAATGTTTTTCTTAGCCGCACCATGCCACACAAACCGGAGTTAAGCGCTGAAAACGAGCGTGATTTTTTTGTAGGGTTGTGTGTGTTTTGTGCTTTTTGGATTGTCAGGCAAGTAGTTAAGTAGCTAACCTGTTTCTCTCGTCGTAGGTACAGTATTCGATAGAATACATACGCGGAACTAGAACTTGAATTCGCTGATCTTACGCTGGTAAGGGAAAATTCTGCAGCATTTTAAAGTGTGGTATTAAAGACAGACAAAACAACGATAAGATAATTTTTGAAAAGCGTTTCAGAACCGTCATCTCAACTGGTAAAAGGTCCTAATTTATGATATTTCAATGGTGTTATCTTAACAAAGCAGTCAAAGTTAAGAATTCAAAGTAGAAGCAATGCTACTTAGCTCCACTTACTAGCGAGAAGATTTGAAATGAAGTTTAAGGAAGTTACAAGTTGGATCTCATGGTACTGCCAAATAGCTCCTAAGTACGGGGATTTTCCTTCCAAGTAGAAAGGAAAACTAGATTTCCGTAGGAACGTTTATAGTTTCAGGGATAAATTTTTCTTGTCACAGGCTTTATAGGCTACGCGTAGTTCCTCTTTCGCTTAGTCCGTCGTACGTGACGCGAAAGAAAACCGCGAGAAAAAAATGGCCGCGCAAAATCCTGGGGGCAGGAGCGCGCAAAACGCTCCTCGCTCCCAGGATTTCGCGCGGCCATTTTTTTCTCGCGGTTTTCTTTCGCGTCACGCACGACGGACTAAGCGAAAGAGGGACTACTCGTAGTCTATAAGCTTTAAGACTGAAAGATTATAGGGAGGTCACGCCGGAACGTCTGCGGAAAACGATATACTATAAATGCTTATGACTGATTAAGAGATTCGAATGTGATTATTCGCTTACATGCAAGGTTCACGAACCCTGAAGAGGTATTTACTTGCTGTAGTGTCCGTGTCACGGAGCGAAATTCCTGGAATCGGGGGAACCCCCGTTTGCTGGCTTACTTCGTTTCGTTTCGCAAAATACAGTAAGCCTTGCGTAATACAGTACGCTTTGCGTTGCGGGCTTACTGTATTTTGCGAAACGAAACGAAACGAATTGAAACGAAAGGAATAAACCTGTACTGAAATGAACATATCAAGTATCACAACAGTCAGATTCCTCCGTGCGATAACCTATACAAGGAATAGCCGAAGTGTAGAATTTGTAAATTCGAAGATCTGTATTTTGCGAAACGAGCTCTTCGAAGACTGTTACGATATGTAACTTATTTGTTCCGATTCTTTAACACTTTTCGTACATGCTTATTCGTTTCGTTTCGTTTCGTCTCGTTTTGTTTCGCAAAATACAGTACGCCCGTTCGCGGGCATTCACCTTCCCGGCGTCGACAAAACC